TTCATCCATCAGTGGACGCTTAGGTCGATTCCATATCTTTGCTGTTGTGAATAGTGTTGCAGGAAACATACGAGTGTGGGCGTCTTTTTGATATATTGATTTATTTTCCTTTTAAGTAAGAAAATCCCAAGGGCAACTCCCTCAGGTCCCCTCCCACTCTGGGAGCTTTTCTGTCCTCTCAATAAATCCTGCTTGAAAGAAAGGAAGGAAGGAAGGGAGGGAGGGAAAATAAAAGAAAGAAAATAAATCTCAGTAATGTGATTGCTAGATTGAATGGTAGTTTTATTTTTAGTTCTTTGAGAAATCTCCATACTGTTGTCCATAGAAGTTATACTAATTTATAGAGACCAGCAGTCTATATGTGTTTCCTTTCTCTGCATTTTCCCAATATCTGTTAATTTTTTACCTTTTAATACTAATTGTTCTGATTGGGATAAGATGATATTGCACTGTGGTTTTAATTTGCATTTCCCTGATGATTCGTGATATTGAACTTTTTTTAATGTACCTGTTGACCATTTGTATGTCTTCTTTTGAAAAATGTCTGTTCGTGTTCTTTGATCACTGTTTTTGCTGTTGTTGTTGTTGAGTTGAATTCCTTGTATATTTTGAATATTAGTCTCCTGTCAGATGACTAGTTGGCAAATATTTTCTTCCATTCTGCAGGTGTCTGTACACTCTGTTGATTATTTCTTGTCAGTTTAAGTGCTTTTTATTTGTTTTTGGTTTTATTTTTGAGCCCTTATTGAGTAAGATTCTAATAAATATCCATAACTAGGAGAGTGAGTCTGACCAGAATAAGCTGGAATACAGAGAAGAGAAAATATTCTGAAAAGTCAAAGCCAGTTTTACTAATGGAGAGTGATGGGAAAGAAAGTGGGCAGTGTCAGTAGAGGTACTATTATGAAGGATTTCACCTACAATCTAAGAACAGTATTGTAGATACTGATATTGAGGCAGGAGACCAATGGGCTAACATTTATTGAGAAAGGATATGCAGGTGTAGAAGGTGCTGTTGAATAGGGAGAAGATTTGATGCTGAAATATCAATGAAAAACTGTTACACTTATCCTGGCAATAGATATAATATCGGGACCAAAGAAAAATGTCTCCCTTGTCCTCTGAAGAGTTACTGAGAATCACTAATGAGAGGGAGATTAATAAGAGAAAAGATATACAAGTTTATTTGATCATAGTTTTATGTGACACAGGAGCCCTTAGAATGAAGACCCAGAGATACAGGGGAAAATGTTCATTTTAATGCTTAGTTTCAACAAAGTATGAACAACCATGTAGAAATACATGGACAAAAATGGTATGAGCCAATGCTAATAGGTTGCGTGGGGAAACCCAGCAAGGCCTGTCTGTCTAGATTTTTCTTGAATTCTCTGAGTATGTGTTTTTGCCTTCCGGGTATGGGACAGAACCCTCTCTGGAATGGAGGTCTTATGATCTGTAGTCAAACAAGGTAGGTGAGATCATTTATGACAAGTTTTTACATAGAAAGGGACAGGCAAAGGAGATAAAGTAATAGTTTTAGGTTTTATGACTGGCTTTGGTGAAAAGGGGTTCTGATTTCTATGACCCCCACCTTGGGCAAGAAGAATCTAGTTTCTGTGGCTAGTGGCGAGGTGGAGGGTAGTGTCAAAGGGAACTGAGAGGAGGGTAGGAGAAAGAGAGGAACTTTAGAACTTTATTTTTGAGGTCTTTATTTATTTTGGGGTATAGTTTTCTGAATCCCAATACTAGGTAAGACCTGAAGTAGGCAATGGCAATCCAATGAAGTGGATGGGGCAGATGAAAGAGAGATATGAAATAAGAAAGCCTGAAAATCAGTAAATGGTTAGGGAAAACTAAGGATTGAAAACACTGTGATTGGAAAAAGGAGAAACCTTTCATAAAACTTGGCAAGTCAAGGGTAGAAGTTGATTTTTGGTAACAAATATAATGAGATAATTTCCCATCTTTCAACAAATCTTTCCCACCTTTGTAGGAACTATTTTGTTATAATAGCAAAGAGAATATTCTCTGTGAATCCTTGTTATTTTTTTTTTTTTGTTTGCAAAGCCATTATAGTTTTTGGGAGGTTTTGGTCAAATATTATCAATCTCAATTGCTTTATGTACTAATTTGAGGAAGGCAGGCATATATGATAGAGTTTTTAAAAGTCTATTTTTAGAATATCATGAAGAATAGCCAGAATTGAGTGGTTTGTAATAGTGAGAACTTGACGTTAGATTTGGAAAAGCAGTTCACTTATAAATGATACCTATCAAAAACTGTACTAATGGCTGGGCACAGTAGCTCACACCAGTAATCTCAGCACTTTGGGAGGCCAAGGCGAGAAGATTGCGTGAGCACAGGAATTCGAGACTAGCCCGGGCAACTTGGTGGGACCTTCTCTCCACAATAAATAAAAAAATTAGCAGGGCTTGCTGGCTCGTGCCTGTAGTTCCAGATACTTGGGAGGCTGAGGTGGAAGGATCGCCTGAGCCCGGCAAGTCGAGCCTATGGGAGCCATGAGCGTGCCACTGCACTTCAGCCCGGGCAAGAGAGTGAGACTTCTACTCAAAAAAAAAAAAAAAAAAAATCGTAGTAATGGAAAATGAAATCAAATTAAGTTGGGGCAAGTTCAGTGACTTACTTTGGTGCAGAAGGAACTGCACTATTTCCAAGAAAAGTGCGCCAGTGATGGAATTTTTTTTGCAAGAACATCTGAACACATGATATCTAATTTAAAATGTTCCTTTGTTCTCATAATTTCAGTTGTTGAACTGTGCTCCACTTCATCTGATTTAAAAGAGAAATAATATGCACTTTCTTCAGTGGGGAGGGAGAAAGGAAAGCAAAAGAACTGTTTATAATTCATGACACAGCTTAGGAGACAAAATGAGAAGATGCTTTAGAAACGTTAAAACAGCCATAACAGTAACAATGTGCTGTTTTAAAGAATGTGGGCAGTTTTTTTTTTTTCCCTACATTCCATCAGACAGCAGAAAAGGCACTGTCCAACTGTAGACTTCCGCATGAAGGGTTCCTCTGTCAGGTGACCTGTGCCAGAAACCGGTCAGAACCCAGTTTCTGTGGGGGAATCCTACTTCCACAATCAACAGTCTCCTTTTGCAGTAGATTTTGAAGTTTTGTTTGTATTTGTTTCATGTGATTATTTGGTTATGCATAATTAGGTAGCAGCCTTGGGTGGGATGAAGGTTTCGGTCTGGAGTCTCCGAGTCGCTCTGGGATCAATGGAGCCTGGAGATTGCTGGGGTCAACTCTGTTCAACTGGATTTTTATTTCGGTGGAGGCGAGAGAGGGGAGAACATTTCTGAGACTTTCTTATGTTAATATGACTCACCCAAAGGGAAACAATTTACAACGTTTCATCAACTTATTTGGCCATAAAACCTTTTTCTTAACAGTTTTCTCATGAAGTCTTTTTCAAAACACTGGTTATTCAAAACTCAAATCTTCCAAATTTAAAAACAGAAAAGAAATTAAATGGCTCATTCACAGCTATATAGCAATTTACTTAAAGAACTAGACCAGAACTAAGGTCTTCTAACATAGTATATTTTCTTCCTTTTGCCCTTCAAATTCAGAAGTCTTTAAAAACTATATAATATTCCAAATTAGATTGGTAAAATGTACACAAATGGATTTGAATAAATAAATGAAACTAATGATTTAATTATTTTTAGTATATTTTGAATTGGTACATAGCCTTTGATGAAAAAAGTAGGATTGAGAGCCAATTAGTATTTGAAACCAAGGTTTTACAATTTTATAATTGGTAAGCTTTTTTTTGGCAAAAAAATCAACTGTCTTTCAAATTATAAAAATAGATTTCCTTTCAAATTGTAAAAAGTGCAAACAGTACAGTAATATGTATACCAGAAAGTGTTTCCACTTTTCCGGAACAGGACTGGGGAAAATGACTCTGATTTAGTGTCTGTCGTTCCAGACCCCATCACTGCATAAGTAAACAAGTATCTTTGAAAAACTTTAGTCTGGGAGCTGTGGCTCATGCCTATAATCCCAGCACTTTGGTAGGCCAACGTGAGAGAGTTACTTGAGCCCAAGAGTTTGAGACCAACCTGGGCAACACGGCGAGACCTCCTCTCTACAATAAATTAAAAAATTAACCAGGCGTGGTAGCACATGCCTGTGGTTCCAGCTACTTGGAAGGCTGAGGGGAAAGGACCATCTGAGCCCAGCAGTTCGAGGCTGCCATGGCGGTGAGCATGCCATTGCACTCCAGCCTGGGTGACAGAATGAGACTTTGACGTAAAAATAACAACTAAAAAAAACTCCAAAACTTTTGATGGCATGGTGGTATGTTCCTGTAATCCCAACTACTCTAGAGGCTGAGGCAGGAGGAGCACTTTAGCCCAGAAATTCAAGACCAGTCTGGGCAAGATAGCAAAACTGTCTCAAAACAAAATAAAACAAAGACTTTAAGTAGATGGCTTTATGGTAGACATCATGTTCTTTAACCTTAATTGTACTCAGCAATATTACATGCTTATCTTCTCATATCAATGCATATCAATCTTTTAAAAAAAACTTCTTAATGGCTTAATAATGTTATATTACATGGCTGTATTTTAATATATTTAACCAGTTGCCCATTGACTAACTTTAAGGTAGTTGTAATTTTTTTTATCAGATGATGCTGTGATATCTTTTTTTGAATCTTTGTGTGAGTCTGTAATAGAGTCACTGAAGTGGAATTGCTGGAACAAAGAATATGCAGGCACATTTAAATTTTTCTAAGTATTGCCAAATTATCTTTTTAAAAAAATGGTAGCAGTTTATTTTTCCATTGCCAGCATTTCAATAAGAGACTTAATAATGGTGCAGTTTTCATTGAACTTTAAAAAAAGACATGATACTTTTGAAATTGATAACAAAATCTTTTTCTTTCTTAAAACTATGAAGATGATTTATAAAACAGTGATAATCATGATCTCTCTTTCTCTCCCCCACCCCGCTCTTTACAGAGCAAACTATTCATGGAAGGATTTAGAAGCCTAAAAGAAGGAGAACCAGTGGAATTCACATTTAAAAAATCTTCCAAAGGCCTTGAATCAATACGGGTAACAGGACCTGGTGGGAACCCCTGTTTAGGAAGCGAAAGAAGACCCAAAGGGAAGACACTACAAAAGAGAAAACCAAAGGGAGATAGGTAATCATTTTACTTTGTAATTTATGAGTTTATTGTATTTGGAAAAGATTTTTGAAAATTTCTTTATATTTTTATGTTATTGGATTTTTGTATAGTCTAGCCAAAAGAAAAGGTCACCATCATATGGTTGAATAGAATATATCAGGAATATAGGCTGTCTTGTAATTTGCATTATCTGTGCAGCGTGTACTGAGCTGAGCATTCAGCATTAGGCATTGAATGATCCTTTGACCACCATTTCCACCAAACTGTTCTGAGACCACAAATGAGAACCTGATGTTCCCAACAGTCAGAGGTACCCTTCTGTACATTCAGAATTTGCCAATACCCTACTTGTTTTCTTAAATGAAAATACACTTATCATTTTGTCTGTTTTCAAAAGATAGCTCACATGTAGAAAATCTAAATAATATAAAAACTATAAAGAAGCAAGGAAAAACATCACTTGAAATCCTAACTAACTAGAGATGAGAATCATAATATAGATGCTATTTTGAAACGTACTTTTTTTTTACTTAACAATATATGAGGGGGGATCCCCCCAAAAACCCCAGAATTATCTTTTAGAGGGTCGGCCCCTTGTAGTGCACTCGGAATTTATTCCTCAGGATCAAATGGTCAACCAAAGTTTTTATCTGGAAGTTTTGAGAAGCTTGAGTCACGATTTACAAAAGAAATGTACCAAGTTGTGACAAACAGGGGACTGGTTCTTCCACCATGAAGATGCACCATGACTGTCCACACTATGCTGAGTGTTCAGCAGTTTTTGACCAAAAATGCCATAACATGGGTGCTGTGCCCTTCTGATCTACCTGTTCTTGTCTTGAGTGACTTTTTTTGTTTCCCCAATGAAAAAAGTCCTCAAAGGGAAACATTTTGCCCATGTGGAAGAAGTGAAACAAAACACAGCAGAAGCACTAAAAGGCATCAAAATGAATGAGTTCAAAAATTATTTTGAGCAGTGGAAAAAGCATCTTGAGAGGTGTATTGTATCAAGCGGAGAGTACTTTGAAGGTGACTGAAGTTTAAACGTAAGAATAAATTTATAATTTTTATAAACAAATTCTGAGTTTTTTCGGTCCCCCCTCATATTATAAATATTTCATTGACTCATTAGCACCTGTACCCATTTCTGCTATATGAATGTACCAGAAGTTAATTTAATATTAACTGTGTTAATGAATATTTAGGTTTTTTTTTTTTTTTTTGGTGTTTTTTATTTATCAGTAACACCATTGAGGGGTTTTTTTTTTTTAATAAGAGACTGACTCTGTTGCCCAGGCAGGAATGCAGTAGCGTGATTATGGCTCACTGCAGCCTCAGACCCTGGGCTCAGGCGATCTGTCTCAGGGTAGCTGGGACTACAGGGGTAATCCACCTCACCCATCTAATTTTTTTTTTTTTGTAGAGAAAAAGTCTCATTGTGTTTCCCAGGCTGGTCTTGAACTCCTGGGCTCAAGCAATCTGCCCTCCTTGGCCTCCTAAAGTATTGGGATTATAGGCATGAGCTACCATGCCCAGCCAACACCATTTTGGGAATTCATATATATACATTTTTGAAAAGCTGTCTGATTATATTTTTAGTGTAAATACTTACAGTGAAAATTCTGGATTAAAAAATATGCACTTTAAAAATTTTGGTACCTATTTTCAAACTACTCTCTGGAAATGACTAGGGCCAGCTCATTGAATGTCATCATTTTAAAAATATTTTCCAGTTACAAAGGTTAAGAGATACAGCTCGTTATTTTTCTTTGCATTACTTGAATATATTGAAGGATGAATTTTTTTTTTTTTTTTGAGTTGGAGTCTCACTCGGTCGCCCAGACTGGAGTGCAGTGGCCACTCCCGGCCTCCGCAGCCTCGCCTGCTGGGCTCCAAGGATCCTTCCGCCTCAGCCTTCCGAGTAGCCCAAATTACAGGCATGTGCTACCACGCCCGGCTGATTTTTTGGTTTATTGTAGAGATGAGGTCTCGCTGCCCAGGCTAGTCTCGAACCTGCGGGCTCAGGCAATCCACTCACCCCAGCCTCCCAAAAGCGCGGGATTACAGGCTGAGCCACTGAGCCCAGCGGATGAATATTTTTATATGTTAGATTTTCAGTTGTATTTTTCTTTTTTATGAATTGTACATTTCCTATCCTTTGACAATTTTGTCAAGATGCTCATTTGTTAAACATTATTGATTTGTAGCTCCTCTTTATATACTTAGGATGTGAATCTCTGGTCTCAAATTAAAAATATATATATTTTTCCACTTATGAAGTATATTTCAGCTTTAATTATTGTTGTTTTAAAAAATATTATTGAAGTTTTAATTTTTATACAGACTAGTCTGTGACTCCTTTATGTTATCTTGGCTTTAACTGCTATCTGGTTTTACAAACCACAAAATTAAAAATACACTATATTCATCTGTATTTTCAATAACATTTTTATTTATCTTTTATATTTAACTGTCCCTTTTCTTTGTAATCTAATTTATTTTTGAAGAGTGGACTGTAAAGCTGTCGGTTTTCTTTTCTCTCCAAACTGCTAGCTAGTTATCTCTACAGAATGTATTGCCTAGACCAGTTTTCCCAATGGTTTGAAAAGCCATCCAGTGAGAGAATAAATTGAATTTTCAATAATAATTTTAGATGCTAAATTTGTACAAAAGAAAGTGCATGAATATGTGTGAAATGTTAATGATGCACTTACCTATTAAAGTGGTTTCCTGTTCTCTACTAGAGAGATAGGTATGTTAAATGGTGAAATGATCAAGTAAGGTGACTGCTGAAACGTGACCAGTTAGCAACATGTAAGTGAATAGTGAAGTTGATAAGGACAGGTTCAACAGGCTGGTGGGAATGAAATATATACTTAAATATATACATACAAGTAAAGCAAAGTAAAATAAAATAAATAGTTCTTTATTTTTCCATAACTTTTATATAACATCATTAACAATGTAGTTCTAGAACATTTTTAGACTGGAATCATAAGAAGGAGAATATTGGAGGCTGGGATTTGAAGAATAAGATAGGCAGACATTCTTTCATCTAGGAACTTGTCAACCGTTGTACAGACTTTGATTCTAGAGAAAATGGGAAGTCCCTGGGAAATTGTAGGTTGAAAAGTAACATGACAATGATTTACCTTTGAGAGTGTCATTCTAGCAGCTGTGATGACTATACAAAGTGGAAAGGCAAGGATGAAAGCTGAGAGACCACTAAGGAGGCAGGTCCAATAACACAGAAGAGATGGTGATGGTTTGGGCTGTGATGGTAGCAGAAGTAATAAGCAAAATTCTAATCAGTTTTGAGAAGAGACAGTAGGGTTTCGTGATGTGTCTTGTGTAGACTGTGAGAGAAGATGAAGAGTCCAGGGTGACTCCAGAAGATGAAGAGTCCAGGGTGACACTACAGGAAAGATGGAGGGACCATGTACCAAGATGGGGAAGCCTGCGGAAGGAGCAGGAAATCAAATGTATGGATCAGACATATTTAATTAGAGATACATAATGAATATCCAAGGGAAGAGGCAGATTAAGCAAATGGATGCATAATATGGAGTTCCCTAGAGATCAAAATTTGGCAATATTCAACAAAAAGTTGATATTTACAGCTATTAGACTGAATGAGATCACCATTAAAAGTACTCACAGAAAAGAGAAAGCGAACTGAGCCCTGACATTCCAGCATTTAAAGGTGAAGAAGAGTAGGAGGAACACCAAAAAGCACTAAATAAGAAGGAGGGAACTAGGAGACGCAAGAAAAAATTTTGTCTCAGAAAGCGAGAAAAGAAAGTATTTCAAAAAGAAGAGGGTTTCAGTTGTGTTAAATGGTGCTGTGAAATGATCAAGTAAGTGACTACCGAAACTTGACCACTTGGTAACATGTGAGTCATTAGTGAAGTTGACAGGTGGGGGCAAAAGTCTACTTGGGTTGTGTTCAACAGAGAATGAATGGAGAGGAAACAGAGAGAGCAAGTGTAGACAATTGTTTTGAGAAGTTTTCCTGTAAATGGGAGCAGAAAAATGAAGCAGCTAAGGGGAGGAAATTATAGCATGTTTACTGGAATGGTCTCATAGAAAGAAAAGATTGAACATGGAGGAGAGGAGGGGACCATTTCTGGAGTGATTTCCTTGAGTGGGTGGGAAGATTTGGATTTAAAGCATAATTGGGGGATGTGGTCAAATGAGTACAAGTGGTTCATTCTTCAGACCTGGAGGCCAGGCACAGCATACAGGCCAGTTGCAGGCAGCAGGTAGATATGAAGGTGGGATAAGGTGAGATTTCTCCTTTTTATGATATTTTCTTAGTGAAATTCGAAGCAAAGTCATCAGCAGAGAGTGATGGTAGAAGACTATGTTTAGAAACTTAGAAAGAAAGGGGAAGGTATGAAATAGGGAAATAGAAGTATGAATGCATTATGGAAAAGTCATAAACTCCAGGCTGTGCCAAAGGCACACTTTAAGGTTAGTGGGCATGGATTTAAAGCAAAGTCAATTAACAAAATTGTGATTTTTCTCCAGCCCTATTTGTTGACTTCATGTCTACAGGTGTGGAACAGGTATTAAAATGGATTTAACTAGAATTGGGGTTTTTCTAATTAGAATTACAAAGGGCACTAAAGATGTATGCAAGGGAGCATTAGTAATGATGGATGGTAGACTGTCAACTGGGTCAAGAGTGAAGACGTACAGGTGATAAGCTCATGCTGTGTGGGTTTCATTGGGGTCAGAGACTTGTAGTTGGAGTACTAGAAGGAATGTTCTGGCAAGGTAGAATGTGGTGGTCAGAAGCTCCAGCTGCTTACAGAGCTCCAGCTGCTTTGACATGCTTAGTGTCCAATGACTAGGATGCTCATAATTTTTGTTACTAGGATTAGCAATTCCAGTTTTCCGTGTGCCACTGGTTTTTATAAAATGATAAAGAAACCACTTGCAGCAAAATATTCAAATAAGCATAGAGACTGAAACCATAAGAAAACAAGATTCAACAGTGTGGTAGCAGAAAT